ACACACACACACACACACACACACACACACACACACACACACACACACACATACACACACACACGAGCGCTCACTTGCCTTCATCTTTCTTTGAGTTTAGTGTCTCCAGAGTAGTGGTGATACGTGGTGAAAGAAAAAAAAGAAAAAAAGAATGGGGTTGAGACGAGTGTAAAGACATTCTAAAAAAAGTCGCCTCATCAATTTCCCGAAAGGAATTATAGGTAGGACAGATGCTGTTTGAAGAACTTGAATATAGCTGGAGTGTTTCGTTTAGCTCAGTTGGTATGCGCGTCCCAAAATTGTTACCATTACAAGGAAGGCGAAGGTAGAGTTGAAGAACAAAGTTAATTAGTTATGAATGTTGTGCATGTGTATTGGGAGCTTTAAGTCTGGATAAAAAGTCGGAGAGAGAGAGGGGAGGGGGAGCAGCCAGTTTCTCGACTAACCGTTCCATGGAGACGCACCTTTGCTCACCGTCACATCTCTGTGCCATTTTGCTTTTAAAGCGAAGACTAAGGCGTCTAACCCTCGGACAGACTGCAGTGGTCACCGAATCCGTACGGGGAGATCGTAGTGACTGGACTGCCTGTACATTGCTAATGGTCTGCCCGCTTGGAAATGTCATGGTATTTCTCCCCAGCCCCAGCGCAAAGGTCATTCATTGTGTTAGGTGCTTAGACGAGACTCTCCCACTGTTCATAGCAAGCGCATGTCAAAATGAGAGTTGGAAATAAGGATTGTACTTCTGACCTCAGTGTCACTTCTTTATTCTACGGGTCTTTCACTTTTCTTATTTATTCTTTTGTTACTGGTTTTCTCATTCTCTTTATTCTTTTGTGCTTCATGTACCATTACAAATGGAAGGGTAAAAAAAAAAAAAGCCCTACAACAAATAAATAACAGATTATAGTAAAACATTTTAAAGTGGATGTCAGTAATGTTGGCACTGGAAGACATATGATTGGTTGGTGCCTCAATGGAGAATGAAGTGAGAATTTGTATGTTCTTACAAAATTTCTTTTCTTTTTTTTGTTTCCTCTAGTGCGAGATCTCCATGATCAGATGACCCATGACTTGTACAACAAAGTGCTTCTCTCCAGTATTGAACAGCCCAAAGAAATTGTGTACCCAAAGCAAGTGGAAAAAGGACGACTATTTCCTCTGTCCACGCAAAAGCACAAGATTCGCCATCATGTGAGTATTAAATGATTCCAACCTGCATGTGTGTGTCGTAAGCTGGTGTGTTCCTGAATAGCTATGCCAGCACTGGTGTTGAAAAATCTGTGGGTGTGTGTATGTGTGCATGCATATGCATGTGAGTGTGTGCGAGTTCAAAAACCTGTGTTTGTGTGTGTGGGTGGGTGGTGTGGAGGTGTGGGCACGTACACCAGATGTAAATAAAAACCTGCAGAGAAAGGCTGAACCCTTTGTTACTGCAGTGAGATACATTTTGTATATTTCTTAAATTTTGAAAAGACTGACATAGGAATGTAGTCGATTGTGGTTTTGCTGAAGATCATGACAGAGTAGAAAAGTCCTACACAAATAGGCTGTATTTCACCATAAGGTCCTGGCATTGTCAAAAAATTGCATACCAACACAGACCTTTTCCAATGCAGGTGTTATTGAGATTTCACAGATTTATTCAGGGGGCACAGTAACCCAACGGGTATGGTGTTAGCTTGTCAACCTGGAGGTCTGGAGTTCGTTTTTTTACCTGCTTTAGGTTTTTTCCTCAAATTTTCTACACACACTTATCAGATTGGACTGAACTCTTATCCTTCTGGTGTAGAGATGAACAAGTTAAGAGGTCCGCTGTGACAGTTTTGCACTTCAAGGATCCCTGCAGAAGGTGTGCGAGTACTCACGTCCACTCGAGTATTTAGCCCCTTGATTTCTTTAATGTACACAAAGATTTCATAATGTTCATCATTTTGTTTGTTTGTTGTTGCACTGTATTTTTTTAATTTGTCGTCTTTTTTTGTCCACTATTCAAATCATCTCTGTAATTTGGATGTTTTTGTTTGTTGTTTTTACTATAACATTGATATTTCTTTTTCTGCTTTTATATTATTGTTATTCATTTATTGGTAAATTTTAGTATAGGCATTGGCAAATTGACCCTGTGCTCAGGATTTGATTACTCCAGTACTCGAGTACTGTTTCGAGTATTTCATAATTATTCAGACTCAGAGTTTAGTCCAAAACAGTGGACTGACACACCGCTACTCGGCAGTTCTAAAATTGAAAAGAGCAAGCCTTTCGGGTGGGCCTCCAAGCAAAATTAAAGACTGATTTCTACCCAAATACTGAATCCACTCTTGTCAGTATAAATATTACGACATCAAGAGTACCTTCGAAAATGGCTACACTACTTGTCAAGCAAGAGATGATTTGATTTTGTTGATGAAAATGACTATGTACGTAAAACCAACTTCAATCTGAGGTGAAGATCTGTCAGTCAGTTACTCCATGAGCTCTTGCAGGAGTACGAAAAGAAGACTAATTTATTCACAACTTTTCAGGATTGAGAATGAAAATGTTGTACATGCCATAGTTATATTTATTATATATTTTATGTTATAGAATGCAATTTATTAGTGTTTTTGTATCTCTCATTGCACAGGGTACACATGAGCATGTCAATCAGCTGACAGTGCAGATCACAATAGCTGGGACCAGGTACAGGATCAAGTTGGAGAGAAACGAGTGAGTGCACAGTTGTGTTTTCTGAGAAAGAAAGCAATCGATATATTCTTTTGCCTCCTCGTCTTTCTGTAGACAGGTTGTCAATAAGTTGGCTTTGTGACAGTGGACTTAATTATTATGCTTTCTTTAATAGTGTTTGTTTTGAATTTGAAAGGATTCACCGTTAGCTCAGTTACTATCATGCTGAATCACAAATTGGATGGCTGAATTAAATCTGTAACTCAGTGTTCTTAAACTTGAGCTGTTTGGAGAGTTTTCATGGTACTTCTTCTTTGTGACAGTCCTATCAGCGATGGATTTTTACCTTGGTGGTGTCGACTTTAAATGACCATACATTAGGGCATTAAATGCATGTCATATCATATCATATCATATCATATCATATCATATCATATCATATCATATCATATCATATCATATCATATCATATCATATCATATCATATATCATGTCATATCATATCATATCATATCATGCCTGTAAATCGAACATGTTTTGCATTCATGCTTTAACAATTTACTCACGGAGTATTTTGAGAGTAACATGCTTTGGTCTTTGATCTCTCTTTTCTTCCTTGCGTCTTATAGTGATTGGTGGGTGCTCTTGTGTGGTCTGCACTTTCTACCTCTTTTCCATGTGGCTAGTACTCTATTCTGTTTGTGGCGAAATGGTGGCTGTAAATGGAATGTTGTAGACTAATACTCAGTGGGTGGTTGGCAGGTGCTCTGGTGTGGTTTGCTCCTTCTTCCCTATAAAAAAATCTATCGTCTCTCTCTCCCCTCCTTCTTTTTGTGTTTGTTACTCTCTTGTAACACCTCTTATCTTTGGCACTTATACAACCTTATTGTGTTGCAATTTCCGTAAAACTCCTACTAAAACTTAAACTCAGCTATTCTGAGCACCAAATGACTGATTTTGTTGAAGTACTTCTATGTTTTTCTTTTTGTTGATGTATATCATGTCTACATTTTGATAACAACAACTTGATAAGAATCAATATAGGACAGTTTGTCTCTTAAATTTCTTTAAGTTTAGGTTGAAAGTGATTTTGGATGGGAGGATTGTTTGGTTATTGAAGCCCTTGGTATGTTTTTAAATTGAATCTTTTTGGTGTGTTTTTTTTTGTCCAGTGTTCTACTCTCGGCTGGGATTGTAGTCAAGCATTATGAGGAGGACAATCAGCAGGTGCTGACTAAGGTGAGGCTTAGAATAATGAGTGAGATAATTTCTCGTGTATCGACATCAGCATTGATACTGTTATTTTTTCGTCATCATTGGTACAAAGCTGAAAAGTGGAGTAAAAAATGTCTTTAGAAATTTCGAACAATTTAGCACAAGCAACAGAATAAAGCAAGAGGTCTAAGACATGATGGTGATCATTATCATTTTTATCACTATCATCAGTTCCATTGTCTGTAACATTATTTTCATTATCACAATATAGTTATCATCCTAATCGATTTAGATTTGTTTTTCATTCATCATTAGATAAATGATACAGTGCCTCAGTGTGTTTTTCATTAAATATTCACTTATACCAGCAATCTCTGTAATCAACATAATATTGTCATGCTTGCTTTTCTGTTGCAGACTGTTGAGCATTGCTATTACCTTGGACATGTGAGGAAAGATGAATGGTCAAGCGTAGCTGTGAGCACATGCAATGGGTTGAAGTGAGTGACTCCATATGTTTCTGTTCCCATTCTGTATTATTATATATTTCCCAAAGAGAAATTGGTTTTTGTTGTTGACCTCAGCTGTGGTCTCTTGTAGTATGTGGACTTGTTTTTATCACTCCTATTATCTGTTCTCTCCCCCCCCCCCCCCCCAAATTTCTTTTCCTCTTTTGTCTCTGTCTTGTGTTTTCACCTGTTCTCACTTCTTCTCTCAAAAACTTGAATAAACCTCAAGACTTGCTCACATAAACATACTTCACATGAACATATGTTTTTTCATGTGGTCTGAATTTATTTTGTATTGTATAGATCATCTTTCAGTTTGTGAATTAGCTGGTATGTTGTATTCATATCAAGAATGAGGACGTTCACTGTTTTACTGTTTAAAAATAAGAAACGATTGTCATCTAGTATTGGCATGTGCTTGTCAGATATTACAGCAAAAATTTTAAAGATGTGATATGTTCTAGAAATATCAGCTTTGGCAGTGTGGTTTGAAAACAAACTGTGGGTGGTTGGCGGGTGCTCTGGCATGGTTTGCTCCCTCTTTCCTATCAAACATCTACCGTCCTTATCTCTCCTCCTTCTTTTTTGTGTATGTTACTCTCTTGTAACACATCTATTCTGCGCCACTTATATGACCTTATTGTGTTGCAAGTGCCGTAAAACACTTACTAAAACTTAAAAAAAGAAAGAAAACAAACCCACAATTGATTACCTACATTTTTTTCATGTGCTGTTTATTACAAGTTTATTTTTTTAACAAGTTTTAACACTTTACTATGTGATGTTCCCCAGGGGTGTGATTCAAATGCACAATGAGACCTACATCATCCAGCCTCTAAATGTCTCTATGGATGTAAGTGTTATCTTAAATTTTAAAGTTTATAGATGCCTCTCTGTTAAAAAGAGATCTATTGACTTGGTCAGGCAAGTTTTGCCTCAGTTGTCGCTTAAATATATGAGGAGTCCACAGAAAAAACGGGAAAAGTGGAATGGTCACAAACTGAAAATCGTGAGAGTATCAATTTTGAACGCTTGTTGACTCATAGCTGTATTTCTGTTCAACTGTTCGTTGATTATTGTTGTTTGATTTTCAATTCAACAAACGTAACAATAATGTGACTGCCCGTTTTTCCCGTGGACTCCTCATATGATAATGGTATGTGTATTAGCAGTATATGATAATGGTATGTGTATTAGCAGTATATGATAATGGTATGTGTATTAGCAGTATATGATAATGGTATGTGTATTAGCAGTATATGATAATGATATGTGTATTAGCAGTATATGATAATGGTATGTGTATTAGCAGTATATGATAATGGTATGTGTATTAGCAGTATATGATAATGGTATGTGTATTAGCAGTATATGATAATGGTATGTGTATTAGCAGTATATGATAATGGTATGTGTATTAGCAGTATATGATAATGGTATGTGTATTAGCAGTATATGATAATGGTATGTGTATTAGCAGTATATGATAATGGTATGTGTATTAGCAGTATATGATAATGGTATGTGTATTAGCAGTATTGGTGTTGTTGAGAAAGTGATTTTTTTCTGTCGCAAACCATCTGTCCATATGTCTTTCTGGCTATGTGTTTAGCTTTCTCTCCATTAATGAATTTCTCACAAGTTGCATCATGGCTTGACTTTATTGAATAATAGAATTACTTTTTCAGTGGAAGTTGAACGGGAGTTTAACATTAAATAATTTTGATTACCAAACTTTTAACCCGTCCACTGTGTGGCCAGACATAATCGTTGGCTGGTTAGTTGGACAAGCCTGACTGTAAAGGTATTAACATAGTGTATGATGTTCAAAGGATATAATGTTGTTTTTATTGTTTTGTTTTTTTGTCATAGGCCACAGAACACCCTCATGTCATCTTCAAGGCTTCAGTGTCTCCAGAGGAGAATTGTGGTATGCTTGCTGGCCTTATGATGAAAATAAGGATGATAGTGATAATAGTAATGAGATAATAACAATGGTATTGACAGTAATAATACTAATAACAATAAAAGTAACAGTAATAATAATAATAGAAGGCATGTATTGAGTGCTTTGTCACTCCTTTGTATGATCAGGGGTAACCCTAGAAAAATGTAGATTATGAAGCAAACTCATCACAGACTATGTTTCAGATGCCATTCAATGTACTCTTTGACTTGATCCGTTCATCTTGTGTTAAGATGAAAGAAATTGTCCAGGTTATACTGAGGGTTTGATTTGGGAAATACAAGAAAAGGGAAACCTTAATAAGTTTATGCTGTAGACTGGATGCTTACACCTTTTTTTTCTTGCTCTCATCTGCGGCTGTTATTGCTCTAAATTTTCATTAGATATTTTAGCTGTAATTTTGAAATTTAATGCGGCCCGAAGAAGTAATTTAATAATGGTTTAACTTAAAAGAAAATTTTCATTTGCTTGTGGTAGTTTTTTAAGATGTGTTCTTTGTAATTTACAATTGTAGTTGTTAAATATGGACTTCTTGTCTCTCTAACAAATTATAGCTATTAAATCTCAAAATATACTGACACATTTTTTCTGTGTATATTTTATGACATTGTAAGTATCCAGAATGATTATTATATTGATAATTTTATTTTCAGGCAACAGCCAAGGTTTATGGCTACCATTTCAAGAACTGCACAAAGGGCAACTCATCAAGAGAATTAAATTCACCAATGCTCAAAAGGTATGCATGCACTTGAAATTTATATTGCTCAGGTATGGTCCAGGTCAAATCATTGTCTGACATTAGTTGTACATCCAATACCCCTTTTAATTTTCATTCACTATGATTAACTTTTATGTTTCTTAATTAGAGTTTAAAGTAGATCTCTGTAACAGAAAGAATGATTTGCTGTTACACTAAGTTGTACCTGTGTCAATTGAATGGAAATATTTTACTGTGTAGCCTGCAGACTTGACTCTTAATACTGGCACCAGAGCATATTAAAAAGTTGGATTGTTCTGACTGTGATAGTTTTTTTTTTTATAGCCTTCAGTCATTGAGGAAAACTTAAGTTTTGCTTTTTATATGGCTTGAGAAATGGGTTTTCTGATCGCTTGATGTCACTCCTAAAATGTGGGATAGATGCATGTTGCAGATTCCTTTGCATTTTGCATTTTTAATGTTCAATTCAATATAGAGATCTAGTTGACTATGCATACTTAAAATTAACTCTAAATTATTAATGTGACACTTTTATTATTCTCAAACTTCTAGAGTCATCTTGGGAAGGAAGATAAAAAGCAGAAACTTCTCAGGATAGCAATGGTTCTTGACAAGTCTATGGTAAGTGTTATATACAGTATGTTGTGTGTGCAGCAGGTGTCCAATTTGGGTTGATTGTGGGGGTGGGTTATAAATTCTTAACACAAAAGGATTTCAAATCCCTGTTTTTTTCCCCCCTCTATATTCTGTGCATTGCAGCTTCCTTTATCACGAAATCTGCGTAACATGCAGAAATTGTCTGGTAGATGGTCATTTTGGCCAGCTATTTTGAAATTGGTGCCGGATTGAACACTTCAAGTCTGATCTTTACAAGCTAAAGCATGTTTGTTTTCAAAATTTTGATTTGAATCGGTCAATCAGGTGTTGCTTTTTTTTCAAACTTTGTCTCTGTGTGTCTGTCACTAGAATTGCTCCATGGAGAGTTGAGGGTGGTTAATTTCTTTTGTAGCATGACACTTTCTAAGTTGTTGAACAATTATGTCTCTCCAGAAAAGAATGTCTAATAAATTTTTAATAGTTGTTGGTTGCCTGAGAGTAGTGCTTGATAAAAAATTATCTTTGCCTGTTTTCTGATACTATGAATTTATAATGGTACAATGAAAATGGATGATGGTGAGTATATATATGTTGTGTGTTGAAGTAAGGAGCTTTTTCTCCTGCAATGTATTTTAAGTCAAAGTTTATTCATGCTGAAAGGGTGGTTGGCGGGGGCTCTGGTGTGGTTTTCTCATTCTTTCATCTATTGTCTATATCATCCCTCCACTTTTGTGTTTGTTACACTCTTGTGACACTTCTAATCTGCGACAACTATATGACCTTGTTGTTTTGCAAGTGCTATGAAACTCCTACTTAAACTAAAATTCATGCTGAATTTCTCGTGTGATAATTGGGCAGCGACCAGTTTGAATTCTGTTCCCCCTGATCTGATATTCTAATCATATAGACCTAACCTGTTAGATAAATGTACGCTTTGCTTTTTTAAAGCCGACCTGTAGTTTATATGTTCAGTATTTCATACAATTTTTCATTTTTAAAAAAATCCTCAGTACATGGGACTTGAGTTTAGCCAACAGCATGTCATCCAGTATGCAGTAGATGTTGCAAACATTGTAGATCTGGTAAGTTGCAGTTTACCTCTATGAAAACAATTCTTATTAATTTACTTTATATGCTTGATACATATTGTCTTCATTTCGCGCAGATAGGAATGAATATACCCACCTGAGACAGTGAACGATTTGTATGGATGTTAGTGTATAAGAGTTTGTAAAGTGGCGGCATGCACTGAAGTTTCTGAGGATTTTTTTTTTCTGTTTTGGAATGTTATCGCATCTTTTTGGGGTAATCATATAATTGTAAAATGCATGGTGCCTTCTTTTGAATTGAGATATGCAATATATATATATATTATATAAGGAATCCGTTTGTTTTAAAATCATTATCATTATGAATGTGCTTACATTTGTAGCACTTGAAGCATTTATACGAGTATTTTGTATGGATTGTGAGACTCTGATTAACATTGTTGTGGTGTAAACTTAATCAATATTCGTTTGTTTCTGTGAGCACTTAAAGCCCTTGTTCTTTCAAGGGGATGACCCTTTTATAAGCCTGATTCATATTTAGGGTACATTCAAGCTTCTCACTGTGAGTCCTGGTGTGTAATCATATTTATTAGCCAGGGAAACTTTAGGCACAACTAAACTGTGATGCGGTTATTGCTAACTTGAACTGAATCTCCAACATTGTGGAATGTGATTTTATGTTTTCTTCGTGGTTTCAGTACTACAGAAAAATAGATTTTAGTATTGCCTTGACATACCTGGAGTTCTGGAACCTTCACAATCATTTCACTGTGGAAAACACACATAGGACACTCCTCAGTCGATTTCTGCAGTACAAGGAAAAACGCCTGCCAAAAGATGATGTGTTTGATGCAGCCTTCTTTTTGACGTGAGTGAAGTCTTTCATTGTTTTTGTGATGCAAAAGTAAGTACACTACTCATGAAATGCTTCGTCTTTTGAAAAAAAAAGGAACTTTTTGTTATATATTGTAGGCCACTATTACTATTGAGATCATTGTAGGATTCAAGCTAACCATGTCTAAAAGTTTAAGGTCATAATAATTGTCTTGATATTTTCAATGCATACAGCGAAATTGAGAAGAGTCTGCTATGCAGTCTGCTTGTGTTTTGTTTGTTTATTTGAATGCCTGTGAATCGTCATTTCGGGATGTGTCCTTGATACATTGACCATGGAACCTGTCGTCTTAAGATGTTATATCTTAAGAACTGTGTCCTGAAACAGTTGATTGTGTTTGTGCTTTCGTGTAGTGTAAAGTTTATATATTTTCTTTGTTCTTTGGATTGTTTTTAAGGATAGATTTTTAAAAGAGTGTAGCGTTAAATACTCTTTTTATAGTTACAAAAAATTGCTTTAAAAAAATGTTACCAGGGGTACGGACTCACATTGGCCTGACGTCAAAGCTTAAGATTTGCTTTATAGTCTGTACCTATTCTACTTTTCATGTATGTACTTAAGCTTGAAATGCATGTGGGCTTCACGTTATTCAACAAGATTTATTTTCCTCATTGGATAGTGGTGTGAAGCTGCAGGACGACAAGGTTGGCATCGCAATCCCCGACTCCATCTGTTCTGACAGAGCTGTTGCTGTTATAAAGGTGAGCTGATTTATATTTTTACTGAGAGTATGGGATCATTTGCTGGTTTCAAGCTTTCTTCTGTAGAATGACTTGTTTACTATGGCAAAATTATTTTCTTGGTTATGCGCTTGAATTGTGATTCATACTGTATATCATCATGAATAGAATGCATGCGCCAATAAGATGCAGGTAGATTTAACAACAAAATTTTTTGTATATATCACATGTTCATTGGATAAGAGGCATCAACTTTTTCGTGGCAAGCCCCATCACATTAAGGTCCATTTTATTTCTAGAAAGCCAAAGTAAAAGAATTATAGTACTGATGTATGTATAAAAAACTCCCCACTGTCGCTATTAAAAAGGTCTCTAATCTCGATGATGCAAGCAACAAAATTTATGAGTTTGATCCCTTGGTCAGCCCCCACTGGGGTTTTTTGGGTCTAATATTTGTATCTTATGAAAACGATGCAGGGCAACTTTGAAGCCTTTATTTTCTGGTAAAAGCTGCATCCTATTCACGATGATGTACATTATTCTTTTTTTAGATAATGAAGTCGTGATCCACTCTAAAAATACCTCAGTACAAAAAAAAAATTGTTCAAGCATATGCAAATAGAAACTGGGTATTGGTACTATTTGTACCTAGGAAGATACAAATTTATGATTTTTGAGTTGTTATGATTCCAAGACTTGTTTTACAGTGAGGTAGATCTGAAATCTTGAATGTACAAACTGAGGCTCAGTATTGAGTCGAGGGTTTTTCATAATCTAGGTAGTATGTAATGAAGTCACATTTTTCCTTTTTAAAGCAGAAAGCTCTTATTTCCATCATGTCGATGATTTCCAACTCCTTATATGGAGCATCAAAACAACTTAAACAGACTTGTACATTCTGCTACATGGCATCACATTGACGAGAAAGGTGAAAGCTCAGCAACTACTGGATACATCGTGACATTGACAACTACATCTGTGTTATCCGCATTTTATGTGGTTCTATATTCCTTGTATCAAGAGGAAGGCCATATGGAACCTGGAGAAGGGTTTTGTAGAATTATGCACAGAATAGTGGGAAGACGTGGAATAATGTGAAGAGGTGGAAAATGTTTGTTCATGGCCTATACTTTGATGCAGGGTGAGAAAGGCAATGATGATGATATTCCTTGTGTGTATGTTTCAGAGTGGTCGCCCGTTTGAGCCCCAGCAGTCTGCCACAATTCTTTCTCACATGGCAGGACACATTTTGGGGATAGAGCATGATGAAGATGGTATGTTGGAATTGCTGATTCGATCTTTAAAGATATGTGAAAGATGATTGTTGAAAATAACAATGAAGTGAAAGTACTTTACCCTGTGCTTAACACAATGTCGTATAACACAAAATTCTTGTTAACACAAAAGAATTTCAAATCCCTGTTTTTTTCCCCCTCTATATTCTGTGCATTACAGCTTCCTTTTTCATGAAATGTGAGTAGCATGCAGAAATTCTCTGGTCCCATGAAGCTCATGAAATGTGAAAAGAAATAATTTCCCCCCCTTATCTGAAAGCATGGGATCATAGCTTATAGGTTTGATTGTTAACAAGGAGTGTGTCTTGGCTTTTTTGAAATGCCACCTTTGCACTTTCTTATTCCTTGTAGTTCTCATGAGTTTTGTTCATGATAAGGTCTTAGTAAAATATTTATTAATTTGTCTGCGTCTTGGAAAAGAGGACTGCAATATATCTAATGGTGTATGATTCAGTGTGTAGTGTTTGGAGGATTACAATAACTGTCTTGATATCTTCGATGCACGCAGCAAAATGGAGAAGAGTCTACCATGCAGGTATAATTGAGTTGTAGTTTCATGTTGTGAAATGCTGGCTTTGTGATGCTGGTGGTCTTAGATGCTTTTTTATTTTGTATTTTTGTTCCTTTTGGTTTTAGGCTGTTTTTTTTTTTGGGTATGTGACTGCTGATACCAGTGGGTTGAATATATCCTTCTAGGGTTGGCTGAGTTTGTTGTATTGATGAATTATTTTTGTGTTTTTGTTTTTTATGTTTGTATATTAGGTGTTCATTTTTTTTCAAGCTACAGTTGTTATTTTTTCACACAGCAAGTTTGTGTACACCTTTGATTTGTTGTTAGTTTTGTTTTGTCTCCTCTTTTTTTTATGTTGTTATGTTTATTAGCACCAAAATTGTATCTTGTTGACTGAAAGGCATGGCCACACATGCATGTGAATGGATGTTTTTGCCTTGTATTCCGTGATGTTGCATTGTATTGTTCTTGTTTTACACAGTATTATTTTTTCCCCCCTTCTCCCTCGATTGATCTCACTGTAAAGTAAACTGCAGGCTCTTCCACCTTCAACCCACAAGATGGCTTGTCTTATATATATAGCTTTTTTTCCAACTAGGTTACAGTGTCTCTTGCATTTCACAAAGCACTAATATGTTTTTTTTAAGTACTCTTGAGTTTATTTGTGCTGCTGGGTATCTTAAGTTTCGGATGAGTAGGAATCTGTTTAGAATTTTAGGCAGCTATTCTTTACAGACCCACACTTCCCCTACTTTGAGATGCTGTTGTCTGTTTGAGAGTTCACAGTGGGTTACTGAGAAGTCAGAATTTTTCTTCTATGCCGGAAAAGAAATAAGAACTGGACACACCTACACCGGATCAGGGATGTGGAAAAATCCAGAGAAAAATTGTTTTATTTGTCTGCATTATCTGCTAGAGCATTCTTACATGAGCGGGGGATTGAATCAAGTTCTTACTTTGGTTTGGGAGGAAAGCACTTTACCCTGAGACCAAAGAGTTCTAGCAGAAGGTGAGGGTGAAAAGATGGTACTATCCTGCAGCCTGATTTGAATGAACACAGGGATCTGACCCATTGCTGTCACAGGGGTGGTGTAGATGTTTTGTCGTACATTCTCAATGTCTTTTTGTTGAATGATATTAGTGTTGTGGAATGGTGCTGATTTCCTTGTCTTTAATTTGGAGTCTTTAGTGTGGGCCAAACTGTGCTTTTGTTGGTCAAGATGGGTCTGTTGAAGTTTTGTGGCTTTATCAAGAGTTCGTACGTGTTTTGACTGAGTGCTTTTTTGGAAGGGGGAGGGGGGGTTAGAGTAGGAGGAGGTGGAGTGCACTGTTTTAATTAGTTGTTCTTCTTTTCTTTAATTTTTGGTGATTTAAGTGCCTTTTGCTTTGCTGTTTTCCTGCACTGAATGTTGGTTATTGTGTGTTTGCTCTTTTCACTGCCACTCAGACTTGGAATCTGTGAACGTGTTGTGGAGCTTTTGTTCATGTTGTAGGACATCAATCCTTGGCCTCAGCAGGTGGGGACTTGGTGGGTGGCTGGTGGGGCTATTAGTATTGCTACCTCTGTGAGTTCATTATAAATGGAGTTTATTGGAGTGTCATGGGCTGGTAATCCTTCAATGAGAATACGAGTATGAATTCTTTGCAAAATTTTGAATACTGTCCAAATTTTGGTCTTTCCTTTTTTTTTTAACCCTAGCTTATCCTGATGAACATGTTGGTTATGTTTGTCCTGACTTTAATGTGTTTATGATTTGCAGATTCTGTTCCTTGGGTTGTCCCTCATTTTTTTTCTTTGATTTATCACTTTTTCAACCCAATTTAAATTCATACTCATCTCTGAAAAATTAAAAATTGTCTTGGGATGTTGCAGTTATATATAAAAAAAAAAAATTCAAAAAATTATTGTTTAAATTGCTTCTAGTGCTTCTGACAGGTCTTCCTTCTTTCCACTTGTTTGAATTGTATCTGATGGTTGAAAGGGGACACCTGTAGGTTCGACTTCTTTTCCAGCCTCTGTTTTTTTCTGGTACTCTCTATTCCCTTTTCCTGGCTCTTTGTGGATATTGTCATGTTGATGTGCCTGTCTTTTGATTTTTTGATTCTATGGTAGTATACATTTGTTTTGTTTTGTAATTTTGTTGTTTTCAAGGTTATGCTTACATGTTGTGTGAATTTTACCAATTTTTTGGAGGTTGTGGGTGAGTGGGTGTTTCAGGAGCAGAAAAAAAAATGTGGTGAGTGAGAGAGAGGGAGGGAGGGAGAGAGAAGGCGATAGAGGGCGAGAGAGAGAGGCGAGAGAGGGTGAGAGAGAGAGGGTGAGAGAGAGAGGGGGAGAGAGAGAGGGGGAGAGAGAGAGGGGGGAGGGGGGGGAGAGAGAGAGAGGGGGGGGGGAGGAAGGTAGGGACGGAGAGAGGGATGAGAGATTGCATGCAACCAAGGTTCATATTTGAAACTTTTACTGTAAGATGAGATGAAATAAATGTGTCACTGTTAAACTAAGTTTGAAGTTAATCTATTTTCTCAGGGACCTGTGCTTGTGACGATGCGTTTGGATGCATCATGTCCACTGAAGTGCTGTAAGTACATTATTTTGATCCCCTAGTCGATTTGTTTGTAATTTAACTGGCACACCGAAGTCTAGCTGCTCTTGGAATTAACCCCATAGCCGTTGCCTGAGATAACGTGTTTGGGGTAAATATAAAGATAAGCAAGAATTTGCTGAGTTTCTTCCTCGAAATTTATTGTGAGATTAAGTATTGTTATGTTTAGGATCCAAAAATGGTGAAAGTGCTTTGGAACAGATCTTCACCCCCCAGGGCGGTGCCACTGACTGAAGTGTCTTTAGGCCATTCCCAAAGGAGGTGCATTTCTCATTCTTATGCACAGTAGAAGTGTAAATGGGCTAATTCAACAATGTCATGCTCATAGCTGTGCCTGATCCTAATCCTTACTATCGTCATTTTCCTTTCTTTTGTATGTTTGTCACACTCTTGTGACCCGCTGCTTCTGGGGTGCCTTGATAGTCAAAGCAGACTTTGTGCTGTTGAAACTAGAGAGGTGCCCAGAGTAAGCCCGATGCCCTGTAAGGACTTCTCTATTGACATTCATTTCTTGGCGCTCATATGACCTTATGCAGTTGCGAGCACCGTAAAACCTCTACTCAAACAAAAACAGATCTTCATCGTCTTGGACATTGTTGTCACAGCTGGAATGATATACTCTATACTATGTTTGTCAAATGGTGTTATCTTTGATGTGTTTACATATTATCTGATCGAAGTCTTTGAAAGTAAACATTATTCTATTCTGGCCATGAAATGAGAAGAACATCTTGTGCCTGTAATTGTGCTAGCAAAAACTAAACTATGGGGAGCATTTTTGCTGTAGTCTTTCATTAAGTTTTTCTGAAAAAAAGTTGTATGTTTAACTCAACAAACCAAAAGAAAAGGGCCACAGTGTCTGAACGGTTTGAAAGTAAACATTCATGCATGTAATACAAAACACTGCATAACATCAAGACTCCAGTACAAACACCCCCTTCCCCTTCCCGAGACTTAAGTAAAATTTCTGTTTCTTTTTTCAAACAGGGGTGCTGGAGGATTTCACTCTAGAATGTTCTCAACATGCAGTGAATCTGATCTAAAAGCTAGTTTGACCATGGGTATCACCTCTTGTCTTTGGGGTGCACCAAGAGTACATGTGAGTTGTCTTTCTATTATTATAACATGACCAATATAATGTTGAGTCAATTTAGCATCCATAGCATTAGTGTTAATTATCTCAATGCTGACATGTCACATTTGTAAGAGCTATTTTAAAAAAGTGCCTTTCCTGTGTTCATCTTGGACAACCTTCAGGGGAATGTACTCTCATCTACAATCTTCGAGCATGTTTTTATTGCTCAGTTATCAGTCTTTGATTGTAATCTGGATGGAAAAGCGTTTCCTGTTGTGGTTTTTAAGGTTAATACTTCTCGATCGAGAAAGCAGTGATCCTGAGCCAATAAAGGATATCTTAAGAATATGAGGTATTTTTCTAAACAGTTTTTGGAAGTTCTGCGCTATAATACGTTTTAGAAGATCACTTCCTGTAAGAGACAGTAACTTTTCCCGTTTTTTTGTTGCCATTGTTTGAACTTCATAACTCAATTATTTGCTGAATTTACTGCAAAAAGATTACAACTGATGTCTGCATGGCTGGCTGTAATTTTTTTATTTCTTTTTTGTTTGTCTCTTGCAGAAAACATGCATATAGATAGATGGTAATCACAAGTGTGGTCTTTTGTGTTAATTTTTAGTCTTATATCTTTAGTTTTTGAAAGAAGAATACTCTTGGTAGTTGAAAGTATTTCTGTTTGAACGAAGGTGTTCCATAATATATGATACAAATTATTATAAATGTATTTTGCTTGTTTAACTTTTGGAATTTTGCTATTTTGTTTTTGACTTCATTACCATTGAGTGTTTGTTTGGAACTCTTTGTTATTATTTTACCTGCAAGTGCTGGGGCCCTGGTCCGTTTATCTGGGTTTGTTTGAAGTCACTGTTGTAACAGAAGGAACTTATTGATTGTTTCAGACGGAATTCAAGCAAACGTGTGGGAATGGGATTGTGGAACGGGGCGAAGAATGTGACTGTGGCTCTCCTGAGGTATGAAAATCAAAGATTGTTTTTTGTTTTTTAATAAGGAAAGTTTTTCAGATAGCTGCTTAATGTAGCATACTTAGTTCCTTGATATACCAACATCTTTTTAAGAACTGTGAGTGATGTAGATGTATACATGAGTAAGATATATTTTTGAGGTATAGATTTGTACTTTTAAAAAGTTTTTTATTCATAGAGTGAAAAGGCTAAATTTCAAAGAGTAACAGTGTTTATTTATCTGAAGAAGCTGTTTCCTTTTAAACCGACACCTACAATGTTCTGGATACTGATTAATGAATAAAAGAAAAATTTCCGCCCCTGTACGTTTTATTGTTCTTAGTCTCTCAGTTTCCTTTGCTGTCTCCCAGGACTGTATGTACAAGGACGCCTGTTGTGACCCAACCACCTGCCTGCTGCAGCCCTGGGCACAGTGTAGAACCGGACCCTGCTGCAGTAACTGCTCCGTGAGTAGAGAGACTGGTCTTTCTTCATCTTTCTTCTTCCTCCTCCTCCTCCTCCTCCTCCTCCTCCTCCTCCTCCTCCTCTTCTTCTTTTTCTTCTTCTTCTTCTTCTCCTTCTCCTCCCCCTCCTCCTTCTCCGCCTCCTCCTCCTACTCCTCCTCCTCCTCCTCCCCTACTCTACGTCCTCCTCCTCTTCCTGCCGCTACTGCTACTTTCGCATTCCCTTTCCTGGTCTCTTCAGACCTCAGAGCAAGTCAATTATAGAAATTTCAAATCCTCAATGGGACTGGTTATATGTTTGGATATTATTTTAAAAAATTTCCCTTTGTAAGCGACTTTGATGCCACATCATCTCCATTATGTGCTTCTGTGCTGTAAACAAATGGCTTATTATTTTTTTTCCTGTTGTTAATTTTTTGTAATGTCAATCGTCCCCAGTATTTACCCAGCAGTCACATGTGTCGCCCGCGGTCCTCAGAGTGTGATGTGCCAGAGTTCTGCGATGGCCGTTCTTGGGATGTAAGTGTTCACGCTCTTGTCTAGTTCACTCTGCTTGGGGTAGTTTGATGGAAGGAAGGTAAAAAAGTAACAATATTCTCTTCAACAGTATGAGTGGTTGGAGGGCACCACTGGTTGGAATTAATTCTTTTCTTTCCCTTTGTTCTTTCGGTCAGACTGACTTGCTTTTTCTGTACACTAAATGACCATTATTGTGTTGATGTGCTATTATTTACTCAAACATCAAAGTCTTTGACTGCTCAGTTTTGCCTCTCCAAGACCATCCCATGCTTGGTATTTTGTATGAGGTCCTAAGTTTATTGAAAGACTTAATTACTTTTCCTTTTGCAAATAATTGTTGATGCCAGCTTCAAGCAGAATACATTAGAACTACATTTTTCAGTTTTGATGTCTTCATGATAAAGCTTTTGCCATTCATGTAAGTAGTTTTTGCTTTTTTAAAATCTACAGTGCCCAAACAACGCTTACATTGAAGATGGTCACCCTTGTGCTCAGGGCAAAGGCTACTGTTCTGGGGGTATCTGTCCAACGGTCAAAGAGCAATGTCAAGGCATCTGGGGAGCAGGTGAGAACATTTAGATGAGTGGCTTTGTTCTGTAGTTACGGGATTGAACAATTTTTGTTTCGCTTTTGGTGTAGCTGGGAGGTAACATTTAAAAAATCAAGCACCGTTATACCTCTGTTTTGTCAAGTAGAGGAAAGTGTTTTCGATTAGGCAGGGAAAGGTCATCTGTAAAGGAGAGGAAAGTGTTCCTGATTGAGCAATGAAATAACTTTCATCGTGTTGAGGAAAATGTTCATGTTTTGCTCAGCAGGGCAACACCTTCAGTTTTTCATGATTGACTAGAAAAAAAGTGTGTTTTAAGTGTAAGAACTTTTTTTCTGTGGTAACTGGCTGTTGATCCTTGAAGAGACTGAGGATGGAGTGAGGCCTAGTCAGTTACTAAAATTTGTGGTGAAGGCCCAAACATGGGTAGGCCTTATTCGTTTCCATGGTGTCTAATTTACCACCACATTGTACTGTAAGAAAGGATTAATCTTGAACCGTTTTTCAACAAACAATGCGTATGTGAAGAGTTATTTTTGTAATTTAAGCATCCCCTCAAGTGATTTACTTGGTTTAATAAGATATATGTCCTGCAAAGATTTAAACCTGCAAAAAATTATACATACTTTTTGTTTGTATTCTCATTGCATTTATTAAATGGCATGAAATTCAAAATTCATTCCAAACTCTTGATTGTATTTATTCAGTATTTAATAAGTCCAGAGTTCTCACAACTTTTTATGAATCATTTTCTTGCTCAGGTGCCAAAGGTGGGCATGACCAGTGTTTCCAGCGTTTCAACCCAACTGGCAATTTTAATGGGCACTGTGGAAAAGACAAGCACTCAGGGAGTTACGCAAAGTGTCAACATGAGTGAGTTCGTTATTTTTTTAAAAAGGTCTCTCATGGTTTTGAGACGGGGATACAATTAAAACTGGTATGCTTTGTGGACTTGTTTTAAATGAGAAAAATTTTAGACGATCAGCTGATTGTGTCATTGTTCTTTTTCAGGAGAGTGAATGAGTAGCTTGTTATTTTTTGGATGATACAGGATCATAGGTGTGTAAGGGAACAAAGTTTTTATTTCTTTTGATTTATGAGCTAGGTTTCTTCTCTTAAGACATAATTCTTTGTTACCTGATAGTAGAATAAGAATCATAACCTGCTGAATATGGCTGTAGCTTTTTTCTTTCTCTCCAGTGTCCTGATCAAATAATCGTAGGAAGAGCTATGTCTGATGTGCTGATGATTCCCATGAAAAGTAGATTAATGAGAAAAGAGTTGATCTTAGGAAATTTCTGGGTCAGTGACCATTTTTCACTAAACAACTGTGTCATTTAGAATGTTATGGGGGTTGGAGTCTCATAAGTTTGTAATGAAATGAGTCAGGAATACCCTTGTCTCCTTACAGCAATATCCTGTGTGGGCTGCTGCATTGTGAAGGTGGCAGAAACTCCCCTCTGTATGGTTCTGACAAAGGATTCTCAACTACCAATGTCAATGCGAATGATATTGAGTATGAGTGCAAGTAAGTTGATATGTTTGCATATATCATTTCTGTTCTTTTTGTAAATCTCTGTTTGCATGACACTGACTGTTTGTTTTTACTTTATATTTGGGAGTAGAGTTTGTAATTTGTGAGGCCTCATGGTGAAATCAGACGCTTATCAAAATAATGAAATTGAAGAATTAGGCATTTTTCTACCCGTTCGGCAATTTTTATCTGATTTTTTTTTGGCTCAGCACCTATGTCCATTTAAAACTCTGATGCTATTGATGTTGAAATGCAGATTGGAAAGCATGCTGTGTGTATAGAGTATTTTAATTTCTCCTGGGTATAATTTTTTTATTGGAAATATTGGGACAGTGAAATAATAAAATGTTTCAGATTTTCTGTTCATTGTGTCAAATTTTATTTCTCTTTTGTTGTATGTGAATATCTGGGTTTTATGTGCTTATAGTCTAGTAAATAAGCTCTAGAGTTCCCTGTGCATATAACTAATGTTTTGCAACGCGTGTGTCTACTCCAGGACTGTCCACGGTCCAGCCATGATGGACATGCCTCATATGGGGATGGTGCAGGATGGCACCAAGTGTGGGGAGAACAAAGTCTGCAAGAGGAACACCTGCAGGCCACTGGCGAAAGTGCCCACCTTCACCTGCCCTACTGCAGAGCTCTCTGAGATATGCTCTGGCCATGGGGTATGTAGGATTTCATGTTATAAGATTCTAACTTGGCTCTACTGTCAAACTTTTCCAAGGGGACCTGTAATTGTTGAGGTGAAAAATGCTTAGACAGCATCATTTTCTCACAAAAAAGACGAAGAAGGGGATTGGTGGGGGGGGGGGGGGGGGGGGGGGGGAGAGAAGTGTTGTCGGAAGTAATCATTTGTAATAGGTGAATATCTTGGACAGGTCTACTTTTGAGCAGGTTTGACAGTATGTACATTGGTAAGCCACACTTCCGTTTTAGAATTATGTTTAGTTACCTTTTTTCACATCTAGGCAGGTGTTTTTTTGGTGTGACTGATCTGTTCATAGCCCTTTAAAGCCCTTTTCTAGTCAAGTTTCCATCAAAATTGCCGAGTTGTGTCAAGGCGAAGTTAAGATGCATAGTAAATTTAGCAAATGAAAGTGTTACTTTTATTCCTTGAGGTATTTCATTCCAGAACTTGTTTGTTTGAGATGTCAAGCTGTGTTTTGCCTTACCATTTCAGGCACTAGTTGTTTTAATCAATTAGTGGCCTCCTTTTTTCCTCATTTTCTGTTTCAGTGTCATTATTTTTTCCTGGACTTACTGACCACCCGTGTGTCATTATGCTGTGATGAATACACAAGCACTTTAAGTTGTTCATTAAGAATGAATCTTGTTCTTTAGGTTTGTGCTCCTGACGAAAGATGTTTTTGTGACCACGGATGGGAAAGTGAGGACTGCTCGGTCAAATCCAACATCACTGTTCTGCTAGATGATGAGGAGGTGGATGTGGACAGTGACTCTTTAGTCCCTACTGTCCACAGCACTGTGGTAGCCAAAGTGGAGACACTCTTACTGGGAGGGCAGGATGGGGTACAGTTGGAGGGGAAGGACATGAGAGGGGCTGATACTCCCGCCACTGCCCCTGTCACAGAAGGTTGGTGAAACATGTATGCATGTTTATACATTTTTATACAGACTTAGAACATGATTTTGAGATGGGCTTTGCTGAAAGTCGGATTGATTTCTTCTTTCTTTTTCATAGTTCTCTGCCTGGATCTCAAGAGTTTCAACAGTTGGTTCTTTAGTCCACAGTGCATTTGATTTTTTTGTGCACGGCCCACATCTACTTAAACACTATCTTTCATCTTTCCAGTAGTTTCATGGTGTTTTTCAGATATCATATGGATTAGGCCTGGGCAGAAACCGAATAAATTATTCGAATAACCGAATACGAGCCCAAAACTAGGTCTCCGGTTAATTTTTCCAAAAAC